TTAAGATCACTGCTTAATCACTTGTGATCTGACCATGCCCTTAAATACCTTCCAAAATGGAAAATATTGGCCAGAAGACATTTGTAAGTCTCTGAACTTAAGTCCCAGAAAGGTGTCCAAAGACTGAAGGTGCAATCATTTTCTTCACAATATGGAATGGGTGAGAAGAGTGAAGCCAGAGCTGATTTCCCATTTAAGTCTCCCTCATGTCTGCACCTTTTACAACTCATTACACCTCAAAGGGACCTGAAATACATATTCATTTCCAGACCCATCTTGGGCTGATAAAATACAACACTGGTTTTTCACAGGCTTAAGCCTCTGTATTCAGTGTAACCTGAAGTGATTTTTCTGGCAAAATTTCATCGACAATCATTTTGTATAAATTATTGTAATAACAATATGCTACCAATAAAATATGCTACCAAAACTGTTTTCTTTTGAGTTCATGTAGTTTCTATGTATTAATGAGAATGTTACACACACATGCACAGCAGGGTAGAGTAGCCCCTGAAGTGTTCTAATTCAATATTAATTTCTCCTGGTGGGTGACTTTGTCCTCATAACAATAATAAAGTTGTGGTACTTTATAAAATGCAAAAGGTCTCTTGAAGGTTGGTACAGGCTGTTGTTCTAACCCAGTACCTTTGTGAAATTCCATCCAAATTAGAAAGATCTGGTAATTGAGAGGTACTCATGAAAGGTTCTAGACTTTAAAGTACAAGCTGTAAACTCTGCCCAGGCACTTTTTTGTCTGGTTGTTTTTTTAAGTAGCTTTCTGCTGCTAATTCATCAAGGCAAAGTCATCATTTGGAATAAAACCTCCAGTTTTTATCATTGTTTAGTTAATTCTGTTCTTGCACCTGGCATTCTAGTTTCTCAGCTAAGCACTAAGGGGAAAACAGGTACATACTTCATATTTTCATGCAGTGAGAATTCCTGCAGCCATAACCTTCCAAAAACTGTCCTCCCAAACTGAACATAACCAACATATTCCAAATTCCAAGGTGAGAAGATCCATTCTGAATCTGCCCAGAATTATTACCACAATGCATCACTGGGGGACACTGTGCTGCAAAAACAGTCCTTTAAATGACATTACTACAGTTTAGAGGCATTAATTTATCCTAAATAGCTAAAAGTTTGTTACAGGATCATCTCTGTTTCAATAGATACAGAAGTGCCTGTTGTTATGACAGAACTCTTAACTTCTACCTCAGGGTCTTTTCCATCTGCCAGCAAATTGTGAGTCTTCAAAGCCATTTTCTGTTGTTGTAGGTTTGTTATAAACTAACCCTTGAGAAAATTTACAGCAAGTGTAAAAAATTTATTCACTCTCTTTAGATCCAAATTCTAACAAAAATCCTTGAAGATAACAGACTTAGAGGTAAATGGGAAATGGAATAAAATCTGTCATGGGTTTTACAGAGTTGCAGGATACAAGAGAAACCTTGCAGGGATTTCTATTAAGATAATTTAATTTCTAGATAAATAAAATTCCACGTAGCTAGTTTAATCTGTATATCAAAGCATTTATTTTGATACCACAGATATTTCCTTATCTAATTGGAGAAGATAACGATGGTGGTCTGGAAATGGCTGAAGAGGGAACAGTGGCACTTTCTGCTCAAAGAGAGACAGGACAGAGATCCTCACCAGTCAGTCCTGGAAAAGTTCAAGCACAGCCTTGCAAGGAGGCATATGGAAAACCTCAGCACAGGGAACAGGTTGCACCTCATGCCCTCAGCCTGGGAGTGTAACAGGGGTTGACATGCAGCAGCACGAACTTCAAGGCCACTTTTGAGTTGGGATCAGTAAGAACATGCACTATCAGCAAGGAGCATGAGCTGAGAAAAGCCAGCCCAGGATATAAGTCAAAACCTTGCTGACTGAGAATTGCTGGCATGACGTAGCTATGAAAGGCAAAAACTACACAGGCTGTGGAAAGTGAAGTATTTCCAGCAGAGACAGGGAAGTGCTGATGACACTCCAGAAAACCAGCAATGGCAGATGTCAAATCAAGTGCATAATTCTGGCAATCCGTGCTCAAAAAAAAATATTCACTTAAATTGCAAGGATGCAAAGAGGGCTACAAAGACAGGCAGAGGGGGAGGAAAAAAAGCGATGAAGAATCTGTGGTTATGTTATTCCTACTGAAAAGTCACCTGGGTAAAAGGAAATACGTCAGGGTCATCCTAATGAGGGATGAAAAGAACACAGTTAAGAAGATAGAAGTATAATCAGGACATGAATCAGTTCAGCTTGGTTATTAAGATTATATATCACCAGAGAAGTGAGTGTCTGCAATAATCTCTGTTTGAAATTGCATGGCAAAACGTTGTCACTTTTGGAACAAGAGGATTACTCTGAACCAGAATAGGACAGTGTCTGACCAAGCAAAAGCCTAGACATGATGACCCACAGGATTTAGCCCCATAGAAGCTTAACAGTAGGATGCAAACTGAGGCTTCTGAGAGATGGCAAATATGCTGCTTACAAAAACTGCTCTTCTAGAACAAGTAGGTAAACATAAACCAAGTCATTTCCAGAGAGAACACACCAAGAATCCGGGACACTGATCTCTTCCACCAATAGAGCTGCTGGTAAAGACTTTGATTTTTCTGTTGCTCAGCAGAAGGGCAGTGCTGGTGTCAGATACCAGACAACAGCATCAAAAGAAGCAGCAATCCTCCAAAAAGAGACAGGCACACGTTACAGCATTTGTGCAATGAGTCAGAAAAAGCTGTAAATCAAGCCAAGATCCTGTGGAACAAAGCTGCTTTAGGAATATAAAATCTCCGTCACGGACTGAGGATCTAGGAAGGCAAGTCATTCATTTGGGCTGAATTTCCCATGCAACCAAATTTATGTTGTGATTTCCCCCCTTCCTCAGTGGCAGCTAAAGCACCTTCCAGGTGGCTATTACAAGGCATGTAACATACTGTACCCCTTTGGGGTAAGACTTAATTACACGTAAGTAGTTTTGGTTCTGCTCTCAATTCTGCCACAAATTCAGTGTATGACCACTGGAAAGTAACTTATTTTATTTGTATTTATCTTTAAAAAGGAAAAAAAAAGAAAAAGAAAATTTTTCTCTAAAACTCTTGTTTGTCCAATTAGAACATCTCAGCAATGGTTTTCTAGAGGCTTTGTAGAGCACATAAATAAATAAATAAATAAATAAATAAATAAATAAATAGCAGTTATAGGTCAACATTGTACAAATGCCAAATGAAAATGATCTTCCCTAATGACACCATGAATATATACGCACAGAAACTATAGAAATAGTAAAGGTAACTTTAAAATTTAATCAGAAAATCAAAACAATGGAAAAATATTAGGAATGTAGAGCTCATCAGGGCAAGCAGAGTCAATTAACTGTTCAGCTGTCCAAGCACAGAGCAGAAAATCTCTTTTTTGCTTATCACCGAGTACAATGACCACTATGATCCCAGCTGTAATCAAATACATAATTGAAAGAGAACCAAACCAGAGAAATCAAAACCAAAAAACACAGGGCCAGATCTGACTGACACACCACTGACTCCAGTGGAATTAACTGGCTGGATGCTCCCACTCACTCCAGCAATCAGAAGTTAACAATTATTACCCTGAACAGCTTCCCACTGCTGATGGGACCTTTCCCATACACCAGAAAACTTATGCACAATGACCTACATTAGTACAACACACCTTTTTTTTTTTTTTTGCTTTTATGTCTATATAAAAATTAGATGTGTATTGTTACCCTAATATTTACATAAAGCATAACAATGAATTCAGTTGCTGGGTCACCAGCAGTTCATCTGCACAAGAGTCGTCTGCATCACTGCATTTCAGGCTGTTGCAATGCACAAAATGATGTCACAGGAACAGACTGGCTACAGCTTCACCTCTACTCACTGTTCTATTTATGAAGACTCATGACAAAAAACTGTAACAGGCAAATAAGGAAAACAGCATGAAATGCATCTACAATAATAGGGAACAATTATCTGTCTTGAAACGTAACCACTTGGAAATTCAGTCTGTCAAGGAACTGGACATTTAATTATTATAATCATTCTAAACAAGAACTAATTGAAACTGAAGATTCACTTTTATCTAGACTTTTGCTTATGAATTTTAAGTATGTTACCTATTAGGATATAACCAAATCTATGAAAATCCAAACAAATTACTCTCCTTACAGTAAGCCTTCCTTATGCAGCACAAGCCTGCTTTCCTTTTTTTTTGAGGTATCTGAATGAATATTTCTAGCTAATGGCTAAATTCTTTTCCATATCTAGATTCAAAGAGGCAAGGAATATGTATACTTTGCTATTCCCCTAGAGAACAGATTTATTTTAGGACAAGAAAAACTATGCCTGCTTTCAAATTTTATCTCTTCCTCATGCTTTCCTGCCACCACTTATGAACGTAAAAGTTAAACTACCTAGAACTATCTAAGGAAATAAATCTAATTTCACAGCTATAACCAAAGTATACCCTACAATAATTGCTACTGATTCTGTAAGTTCCATCTTTTCACCTTCATACCACCTTGACAGTTACTAAATTACAGTTGAAAATACACTGACATAATTTATTAACATGGTCCCATCAACTGACTTAGCATTGGGATCAGATTTGTATTTTTATGTTGTACTGTACGTGAGAAATGCCTCAGACAAATCCATAGAATCATTTAGGTTGAAAAGACCTTTAAGATCATCTGTACCAGTTCTAACATCAGCATTTTCTTTCTATGCCCCCCTAGGTTACATTCATGACCTAAACTCATTTGGAACAACTTTACATATCTTAGTGTCATTAAGAAGTGTCCTTGATGCACCACAGAAGTTCAGGTGTGTGCTTCCATTAATTCCAGTTAGGTCTCAGATCTTTGGGAATTCAAGATGCATGTCAGGTAGAACCAAATATCCTTGATTTTCTTCTTGTGAAATTATAATGTACCACTCTATAGTAAAATCCAGGTTTAGGAACTGCAGCCACAGTTGCAGGGAGAAGCACTGTCCTTTTTGCTGACTCATTTTTCAAGTTCAAAGAATAAAGTCAGGAACATCATGACAAAAAGGGTCTCTGTGCAACAGCCTAGGAACAGCTCCATGTGCCGTAGTTCTGGTAGTGACCCACAGGTTTAGTCTTTGCTACCGTGTTACCTATGAAAGAAGAGGAAAGAGTTACCTACACAGAATGGACCAAACAAGGATGACAGCAGGTGCTTTGTTGCTGCAAAGGAACATGAACACATCGTGAATGAACGTGACCCAGCCAACCTTTACACCGTGCAGAGAAGCAGAATCTCCACACAAATGTTAATTACACTGATGTTCAATAGCACAAGGGAGATCTACAGATAAAAAAGTGACCATTCACTATTAAATTTGGCACTGGCATCTCATGGAAATCTCCTATTTTCCTTTGCTTCATGTCATTTTCAACAGCAATGCCTACAGCACAAGTGTACATCCCAAAAGACCATTCATGCAAACCGCTACCCATTCCCAGCGGTCCATCTTGTGGATGGGAGGGAACCAGGGAACAGACAGCACATGGTCTGCAGAGGGGAAAAATTGTTCTTGCAGAGGAAATCTCTCCCAGACAGCACTTCTCCCATGGGACCCCACAGCCTCTTCCCCTTCAAACCAAATGCACACTCAGCCAGGGGCTGCAGAGACCTGTGTTTAAGCCTTAATGCACACACAGGCACAAACCCAGCGGGGTTTGGGTACAGAGTGAGGAGGGTTCCTGTTGGATTTCCCACCCTGGAAACGGATGAGGACAGGCAGCCTGCAAGGAGGAAAGCTTTGTCAGCTCTGCTCTGTAGTGTCTAGACATGTCACAAAACTGAAGAGACACTCAGCGTAGAGAAGTTTTTATTTCCTTCCCTGAGGGAACTGATGGAAGATACGAGCTCCTCAGCTTTTCACATTTTAACTGTCCCACTCAGCCAGTAACTATTCATCCAAATACTGAGCAGCATCAGCAGTCTCCCATGCTTCAAGTTCCACAATTTTTACTTATTTTCATGGAACGAAAAGATAGAGGACTTAAAATTGATTAAATGGCATTTCCTCTTTCAGCGTATAATTAACCTGTGGAAGCCATTGTCCCAAGTAGCACTGATCCCAAGGTCTTAGAAGGCTTTAAAAATTGATTACAAATTTAAATGGTAATGAGATCATCTCTGGTGCATAACAGAAAAAAAAAATTAATACAGAATGGATCTCAACTCTTTTGTTTTAGACATAAGGCAACTATTACACTGGAAGAACTTCATGTACGTGTACCTTTTCTGTAATTGTCCCAGAGGGTTTTGCTGTGTCTGATTTAAGCATCCCAGTTCTGAGACTCACAGGTGGCTGTAGGGTTTGGGTTACTGGTCTGACAGTTCATAGTCCTCTTTGTGCAAAATTTTAATAATACACTTAATAAATATTTTGTTGGTTGATCTGAGACAAATCTTTGGTTCATTTTCAAAATAAAAAACTAAGTTATACCATACTTTCCTTTTCTCTGTTAACAAGGGAAATTTTCTTTCCATTCCATTTCCCTTCCAATTCAAAAATAGTGAACTTGAGTGCCACAAGCTTCTGTTCTGAATCTGAAGTTACCATTGCTCATTGTATTCGTGCAACAACTATATCTTGGTTGACAGAGAAAACTACCCACAAGACAGGCAAAATACCTGCAGGGGAAATATGGGTGCCAGGACAGATTCTGTAGCACAGCTTTTGCTGTCTAGCAAGCAGATATCTACAAGTGAGCTTGTCATCCAGGGTTTCCCTGGTACAGGAGAGAGAAAGAGATACTCATGGGAACATTCTTGTGGATGGGCACAGCCATGCTGTGAGATCACCCATTTCTCCCTATGTGACTTGGGAGAATCCTAAAAACTCAGCTTGGCTGGAAATATTCCTGCAGCTGGGAACAACAAATCCCAATGAATCCCCTTAGATTCACACCTCAGCTCAAGTGCCAGTTGTTTACTTACCCTAGCCCTCAGAGAAACCTCCTATGGTGATAAAAACCAACGCAAAATGAACTCCACATCCCAGCAAAATAGAGGAAGAGTTTAGTGAAACAACATTTGCCCTCATATTGCTACACCCTGCCCTCTCTTAGCCCCACACAAACTCACTGGAGTTGATGAATTTGCACAGGTCTAATTGCAGGCAGGATGATTTGTCCCGCTCCAGCTTTATAAAGACATCCCTAAGCTCATCAGAATGCAATACCACAGTCTGTACTTCACTGGCTGCAGTTCTTGTCATGGGTAATAAAATAAACGATCCATGCCAAATTCACCCTTCTCTCAGTAAACTCCCACTGACTCAGGCTGCCTCTTTTTTTTCCCTGAGTAAGAGCAAAAGTTGTGAACACGGTGTGTGACTCATGTGGTCAGTTGATCTCAGTGAACTAAAAGGCAAATTTTCCCAAGAAGGAAGAGGCAGCTGCATGAATGAAGACTTGACACCTCAGGCCTTCAGTCATGAGTGACAACATAAAGCTCCTTGTTCTGCCCCTCATCCTTCTGGTATCTGCTGAAGGTGTCAAGGATATTTAACACTGGTTCACTCTTATCCAGTAAGGTCCTTTTGGTATAAGTTGCCAGCTCTCTTCTGGTATTTCCAGAGATTTTCTTATTCAATATCTAAAACTCCTACTCTGCCGGTCTGACCCTTCAGCGTGATGCTACAACACTACCCCTTATATCTATATACAAGTAGTTAAAAGTCAGTGTCTGAGAAAAACTTTAAAGGCTGAGGGTAACCTTTATCTTGCAATAACTGACTGCCAGTTACCCACACTGATTCCAGAGCATGCAGGCCAACTTTCAGGTGCACTATCCACCACAGGAGAACAGCAGGACCCAGGCACACAATGGACTATACGTTTGGTACCTGATAAATAAAACTGATCACAGGATCACAGAGTGGTCTGGGTTCAAAGGGACCTCAGAGACCACCTAATTCCAGCCCATCTGTCATGGGCAGAGATGCCACTGCCTCTGATCTTCAAAACAGGAACAGGCTTTTTCAGACTGGTTGGCTTGATCAGATTTTTCCAGTGAGCCCGACACTGTGCAATGTCAGTAACTGGGCTTCAGATCACTGGTATCACAACACAGCTGCCTAAACCTTCTAATGTTCCCTCTTTCATCCAGAAATTAGTGCAGTTTTCATTCCTTAGAACAACCATTATTAAACAACATTTGGTGACAGTATTTGCTTATTAACTCAGACTGTAACCTAATCAACAACAGTCATTCCCAGCTAGAAGAGGCTGTAAAGGGAAAAGCTGAGCATATGTCTCTCCTTGATATTGCCTGCTAAAGACTCCTGGTTTACGATATATTTAGACATGCAGTTTGTGACTTGTTGAACTTCAATGCACTGAACTCATTTTAAATTGTTAAGCAGACAGAGGAACATGATATTTACTCTCTGCTAGCCATTAATTAAGAAATAAGATAGCATAGCAAAGGGTTGTTTTGGGTTTTGTTAAAAAATAGGTCATCTACAGGATGGTCTGTAATTAGAAATGATCTGAACCAACCTGATTTCCAGTAGTGTTGTGTCACACAGTTCCTACTGCCATCAGTGCAGGTTCTCAACAACTCCCAAGCCATGCTGGTACTTTCAAAAGTTAAAAGGGCTTTCCAGTAGCACAGGAATTTACCAGTGTCACCTAAAGACCTTGGAGCCATGTACTCCATCTGCAAACTGAAAGATTGATCCTGGAACGTGATTATCCCTCTAGCACTGGTCACAACGGAATAGTTTCTCTGCCCACTAGAGACTGAAGCAGGGCCTTATTCAGTTTGACTCCAGGAGAAAAGGGGCTGTTCTGACCCAGTGTTTCCCTCTCTGAGAGCAATTACATTAATCATTTCTTTCCAAAACACTGTAGAGGCCAGTACTGGTGCTCACACCCACAGATGCAATGCCATAAGCAAGAGCCACCTTTAAATATAGGCGATCTCTGTACTTGCCTTTGTGGTTTTGACTTTATTTCCACTGCTGCAAGACCAACCTGAATAGTCTGGTAGTACTTTACAGTCCTCTCCATCCAAACAGGGGTTCATATGACACCACCACTTCTGTAGGACAATGGAAGCTAGAAACAGGAAAGAGAAAAAGGACAGAATATCTTTTATTACTATTGGTTTTAGCAGGGAGGTTTGTCTGTGCCATCTTCAGTTGCTTGGTTTCAAAAGGTAGCACCAACAATTACTGTTCTAATAGTGAATCACACAGGGTGCTTTTGAGCTAAAAAACTTCTCCAGCCCTCAGAAGGGTAAATGCCATATGCAAATGGTGAAGACAGGCAAGCACCACCAGAGACTGACTCCAGCATTTGAACTGACCTCTGAAAATGCCTTTCCATCTCCACTGACTACAAAAATGACTTGCCTCCTTCATTTACATGCTTCAGTCAAGTACCTGCTGCAAGGTGGAATGAAGCTGAGGCTTCTTATTTAATCCAGATATGCATATGCAAGACTGGATGTGGAAATGCCAGTTTCTCCCTTCACTGGGTGAGAAAATAGAATTGCACAGAGATATAACCACATGAGGTCTGTCAGCAAACAGTACAAGGAAGAATGTGGAAACCACTGGCAAGCATTAGATTATCAACTAAAAATCTACCTGAAGTTACACTGCCAGTTTTTCAATATGTTTTGGAAGACTACAGTAGTACACTTTAACTGTGCAAATTTATTAATTTTCTACCCTTAAACCAATTTTTATTAATAAGACCATGCCTGTTATTTTTACAAATGTAGTCATGACTTTATGAAACTGCTGGTAAAAAGATATATAGTTTCCCACAAACAGCTGCATGCACTTCTCAGTTTTGCAATGTTCATGGGACTTACCAAATCCCTGAAAATTATCGTGAAATATGTCAGTTAACAATCCTTCATAATCTAGATTGAATTTCAAAATAAAATATGGCTTAAAATGCTGATTTAGCTAGTCTGCATTATTCTATTATGTGCACAAACTGCTGAAATGCCTGCTTGAAAGGACAACACACTCAAAAGATGAACAAAAATAACAGTCTACTTCAAGTAAAGCACTTCTTTCCTTTTAATTTTAAGGCATATTTGTACTTCTGCAACCTTTAAATTAGGGCGACAAGCAGGCAAGCTGACATCAGGATATTGCTGAAATGTTCATTCAATTACTTTTGTTTTGCACCTTCACTCAAAGCCTATGTGAAAAGCACTGTGAAAAAATATCCTTCTGGAACAGTAGTTTGGCTTTCAAAAACTAATTTTTCAGTCTTATAACATTATAAAATAAGTGTGAATTTTCACCAGACATTTGGGTCTCAGATCATTTGCATTAATGCTGATTGATTGTTGACAAAGGGGGTGAAACTTGACTGTGCTTCCAAGGAGGTGAGGGATCACTCCCACTCCAGGCATATGGTCCAGTCATCTATTTTATCCATTTTATCTCTGCTACTTTCTAAATTTATTCCAATTTCTATACCACGTTTATTTTAGGTAGATACAGAAGCCTGAGGGCACATGCAGAGGCCTGTGAGGAGGCAGGAGATCCTGGCAGCAAACCAGCTGTGATTTCAGAGCTCTGCCTCAAAGCCAGCGAGTCCCAGAGGGCCTGGCTCCATCACCACAGCTCTGCACAGGAATGCTGGGAGAAGGGATGCAGTGACACACTGAGGCTTTGCCTGCACTCTGACATGGGAATGTGCTTTCATATACCTGAAAACATAAGTTCAACTTCAGGTCTGGAAGTCACCTGTTCCCTGCAGGCATCTAGAATCCCTTGTGCCTCAGTTACTCCGATAGCTCCTTTAGTTCCATGGATTCTCATTGGATTCCTGAGGATCAGGCTGGCAAAACTCTAGTTACTGGCTGTCCAGAAGTGTTTTCCAGAGAATGATTTCTCCTTGGAACGCCCACCAGCCCCACAGAGCCAAGAACATGCTATCACTGCCCCACTGGGCAGCAGCACGATTTTTGTCAGCTTGTTTGGCAGTTTTTGTGGGGCTCTGTTTTTTAAAGAAAAAACAAACAAACAAACAAAAAAAACACACACAAACAACAAACCAAAATAAACACCTGTGGCACACTCTGAAATAAAAGCCGGGAAATTTTCCTCCCTTTCTGCTTTCCTTCTTCTCACAAGCAGCCAAACTGGTGCAGCTCAGAGGCAGGTAACCTTCACTGGAGGAACAAGGGGGGAGAGATGGAGCAGAGAGGCTGAAGGAAAACTTCCTCAGAGAGTCCTGCTTTTGGCACCTTAGGGATTTCTTTCCCAGGCAGAAAGAGGGGTGAGGACAAGGTCACAAAGGATGGAGTGAAAAAAGCTGGTGTGCTGGGGTAGGCAGGGCTGGGTGATTCCAGGTAGGAACTACAGGTACCAACCCCCATGTGTGTGATCAGCAGCAGAGGGACAGTTGCTGACCTGGTGTAAATGATCAATACTACTGGATAACATCTGAAGTTAAAAGAAAATAAAATACTACCACGAGCCAATTGCTCTATAAAATCTTTTCTTTTGGTTAGAAAAGTAACTCTATGCTTTGGGTATATCCTTCCCTTTAAACTCAGGGCAAAATATAGGCAAATTAAGCAGGTCTGCATTCAGGAAAAATGTGCTGAAAAAGAAAACTGAGTGTCTGTATCAGACTGTAATATGCAAATTCAAGACACAAACTGTTTCTAGCTTTCACAGTGTAGAAGCCTACTGAAGGATATGTATAGAGTGGGAGAAAACACATCTAATCCTGGGGCTAAGGAAAGATGGTGAGTTCTGTAGCTCAGAAACTATAACTGTAGTCCCACATGCCTGCAAAAATAAGCGAAGTCTGCTAAAACATTACCCTAAGGGGTGAGGGGAAATCAAAGGCTTCTACTGGAAAAATCAAAATCTTACATTCATAATATTTTGTTGCATTTAATTACAACTATATTTTAAGAAAAAACAGCTACCAAATTCCTTCAGCAATTATTGACTGAATCAAGCTTTTACAATATTTATAGATTTCTGCCATAGAATGACAGTGTCACCTTTGCCATCCTTAAATTAGTTTAAAATAATGCCCAACTTCTATTACCTGTTATATGTAAAAGCATTTCTGCTATTTGATGTGTCACCTAAAAATACAGAAGATATTTCTGATGTAACAAGAAAACTCCCTAACAAACTGCACATTGAAGTTGATTGTATTCCTGAATTACAAGGCATGAAAAGACTAAGCATCTAAAAAATAGAAAATAAAAATCTACTTTCTTTAATATCTGTTTTGAGAACCTCATAATAAGTTTTAAAAAAAAAAAAGAACAGATTCACATGTACTTAGAGTTTTATGTTTGAAATCAAATATTTCTGAATGCTAGATTAAAATTGGACTTTGAAGCTTTTGTTTTATACCTAACTGAAATGGTTGCAATTTTATGTGCAAAAGAATGAAAACAGAAGGGTCTTGCTTACAAAAGGGAGGATTCTGGTAACTTTGAGATTAAAAAAAAAAATAAATCTGTCTTGGAGTAGCTTTACTACATTAAAAAAAAGAGCAGCATCCTGTCCTTGGAATAGACTAAGACAACTGGGCCCCATTTTTCATTCCCCAGGGAGGTGTCCTAGCTCAGACAGTGTCCTGTGCAGCCCTGTGCTTGCTTCACTCTCCAAACTCTGAAATATTCAGGATTGCCACACATGGAACTGAATTAACTTGGGACATCATTGTAGCACTGGTGTCCAGTGTAAGAGCCCATTGGGTACATCAAATGGTGAAAAGAGAACAGCTCTCAATATCAGCTGTCCAAGCACTATCTGCATGCCCAGCCTTAGGGTTGCATTTATTATCTGTTGAGTTTTAACCAAGCTACTCTCTTCTAAGACACCTGGAAGAGTTAATACCATAAGCTCGAATTTCTGGGCTTATGCAGTTTTCAGACTAGTTTTAAAGGAGAACTCTTGTGTGAAAAAATTAAGGAGCTTTATTGGCACACACACAAAATGGACTAGTACATATATTAAGAGGATTAATTACACCAAGATTTATGCACAGACTCATTATCATCAATGCACAGAGATGTTTCCAAAATTAACAAAAGGAAGGATTACGCTTTAGAGGCAATGGGGGGGAAGTCAAACATCAAGGAGACTAAACTCCTCAAACAATGAACCATGAGTGAGCAGGAGGCTGCTTACCTTCCACACACGAGGGCTGGGCCCGTGTTGTCCCAGCCACCTGCCCCGGGAAGCAGGAACACTTCACTGTCTGGGAGCGCTCCTCGATCCGGTTCTTATTGCAGCAGCGGTGCACGGCCACAACCTCACATGTCCCCTGCTTGACCTGGTGCTGGCCTAATAAATGCAGAGACAAGTGATGGAGAGCAAAACAAAACATCAGTATGTAAAGGAAGAGACACTTCATACAGCCCTGCGAGGTACTCAATCTCCCCAGCGTCAGCTTAAATCCCAGAAAGACAAAGAGGCAAAGCACCTTGTAGGATCTGGCTCGTTCCCTGAGTTTATCCTATTCTTACTAACAAAGATTAGTTCATCATAAATCAATTTTTCACTCTATCTTCCCTGGCCTTTACAGAGCTACGGGGAGAAAAGGAAGCTGGAGTAGTCAATTAGACAGGAAGAAAAGACACGCAGACAGAAGAAACTCTTCCTTCCTTTGGCTTCCTGTCTTCCATTAGGTTTGATACTCAATTCTTTCACTTCATAGATGGACACAATGGACAGGATAATGTTTAATGCAGGAGAGTTATATTAAATATTAGGGAAACTTTCCAACACAACATATAAGTAGTGCCTGTTGCTTGCAGACAACAAGAACGAGGTAGGCTGAAAAGCTGCCATGGGCAGTCAAGTCCTGTCAAAAAAGAAAAGGAAAAATCCACACCCAAACTATATGGATTTCCCAAGTTCCCTCCTAGATCATTCTGAATAAACCTGTGATAAATGTTCTATAAATATTCTAAATATTCTATGCTCTTGAGTGCATTTCCTCACAATTCACTGTCCCTTATTTCTCTGAGGTTATTTTCCCTTTCCTCTCTTTTCCTTGCTCTTGCCTTCACATCTGACCTCACTGCTCCTTGCACCTGACCCTTTTCTTCCACTGCCAAACTTACTCTGTGTCCTGCCTAAAACCCTTCCTCAGAAACTTCACAAACCCCTCTCCTCTTTGCATGAGTCATTTCCACATCCTCAGTTCCCTGAACAGCCTTCAAGTGCTTCATCTTGCATTTGTCTTGTCTTATTTAGAGCAGAGCCTTGGAAGGCTCTTATCTGTGTTTGTAAAGCACCTTGTAAATTAACAGCACTACAGAACAGGGGGAGTTATTTCATAAGTGAGCTAGACACAGAGACAAGGCTGAGAATAATAAAAATAGTCACCATCAAAGCAGTACAGGCTCCTGATATGAGAAGAGACAACAGCACAGTTATTGGTGTAGGTGTGGCTGATATCAAAGGCATAGAGACTGAGGAAAGGCAGGGGAACAGACTTTTTTTTGGTTTCTGGATTTTTTTTCTTTTTTACAAAATCTGTTACTAATGTCAGACAGATTTTATTGGCAGACCTAATATCAATATCATAATAATCATGGAAAAAATGAAAAAAAGCTACTAGTCCCTTGGACAGCAGCTTCTCTGTAAGTCAATATGGAAAACAAATACACAGAAGACAAGGTAAATTGGCCACTTCATTCCAAATTATGGTTCTACAAAACACTTCACATGACAATGCCTGGAGTTAATAAGGTGGCATGGGGTTCTGACAGAAAAGATTTTGTAAAATGAGGTTGTTAATTTAAGAGAGTATATTTATTTAATTATCTGTGTATTAGATCTACAGCCTGAGTCAAAACTCTTTGGAGGAAACAGAAAAAACTTCCATTGGTTTCCTACAGTGCTTACTGTGGTGGTCCCTGCATTCACTGGAGTCAACAACAAAATTTCTATTGACTTCAGGAGAGCAAGGTCATTTTGGACTGTCTCTTGAAAAGGTGATTTTATAAGGGAGGGGAAAAAAAGCAAAAATTTTTAACTGCCCAGGCCACATATTTGTGTTTGCCATGTATCTCATCTGAAAGACCAAGTGGCCAGGTCTTCATTTTAATTGAAGTCATTAGTCACCAGATATCAGATGCCAAGATAAAAGCCTTTTTTCCAGAAGGTACATCATAAGGATGGACTAGATCCAGCTCCAACACTCAGCATGTAGCTGCAAGAATGTCTATTTTCAAGCTCAAATCCTGCTTCCCTCAGGTGAAGAGTCCTGTTAAGCCAATACCAAAAGAAATCAAACAGGTTGGCCCTGAGCATACAGCCCCAAAAACCTGGGGCTCTCTTTCAATCATGTTGTTTGAATTTTAAAGCAGTGACAGCTCTGCCCTGAAGTACCAGGAGCCAACAGACACACTGCTGTTTGCAGAAGGCAGGATTAAGTTCCCTCATGAATGCACCCTTTGGTTTAGTAGCTGTTTTGCTGTCACTTATTCATGCTTTGCAGCTACACAGGCAGGTGAGGGGAGGTGTCCCCTCTTTGTCTGCTGGCAGAGGTGGGGTGCTAAGGTTTGAAAGCACCCACAGGAAGACAGAGCTCTCCTCCCTTGTCCCTAGTGCACAGCTCTTAAGGAGTAGAACACTAAAGGAACTAAAAAGCCACAGACATCTGCATGCATCATTTGCATTTAATTGGATTGCCCTTGTAATAGTCTTTCCCCTCCTACATGTTCTCATCAATATTTCCTCCTACTTGTTCACACATATCTTAACACTTTTTATTCTGCTGAACACCATACACATTTCTTAATATTCAGACACATCTGTGAACAGGTGCTCAACAAGTGCTGAGGGTTAATGTGGTGGCTTCTGGTCCTGTTTTTGTCAGTGTTCAGCAGCCTTGGATAAGCACTCCCATTTGCAGAGTGGCTTTTACATTTAAGAAAACTCACAGAATATCTTAACCAACCATCAGCTCAGTTCTATTCCTGCCCATATCCACTGAAGCCTGTTGTATCTGCATTCAGGTGCCCAAAGGCAGCAAAGAAGGTATATAAGAATACTCTCCTGCATGTTTTAATATTCATCTTGCACTAAATAAACCTTCATCTCAGGTTTAAAGTACATTTAATGTACAGCTGAGAGTATACTGACAGAAACACTCAAGAACAGCCTTACAGTGTGTTATAACTTGGGGAGCCCCTGGAAGCCAAGACATTTGAGGAGCAAGGACTGAAGAGTTTTTAAAATATGAAGATCACAGTAAGTGAATTCTACACCAGACACATCAAGAAAGCCATTTCAGGGAGAACTGTAGTGAGAGAACGGGACAAAGCCAGTCTGTGGAGAGCAAAGCCCATAAATTCATAGCTCATCACCTGTAAACCTATTCAGATCTGCAACTTTAAGGCTGTCAATATTTGCAGTTGAAATTCAGTTACACCATCACATTTAAATAAGAAAACTCTCCAAAGAGAGCTACGTTCTATCAGCAACACTACCAGAGAAAGGTTCCTGCCATGGAACACCTCCCAGATATCAAGGACAGAACATCTGCCAGCTGAGCACTGCAGAGGATGGGGAATGAGTGTTGGAAACTGTGGGGATCTGGGTTACCTCTGACCAGGAGTTTGCCACATGTGTTGTTATCCATATCCCAATTTCTGTACAGTTTAGCTTCCCTAGAAATACCAGTGTTATTCAAGTTCACTGAGGACACTTTCCTTCTCTCTCCATAAAGGGCACAGACATAATGGGACAGGACTTCTAATGGAAGCAACCTCCAGGACACTCCCTGCTATGAATTTTCCTGCCTTCCATTATGAGATATCTACAGATAACAACAGGTCTCAGGTGCCCAAATCCAGAATGCCTCTTAGTGACCTCAAGGAGTGGCCAAATGAAGGTTCTGTGACCAATTCTTTGTTATCTGTAGGGTTTTCAGCCCAGAAGGATGTACCGTGCAGAACTGTGAGACAACCTCCAGAGTACTCAGAGCACACAGCCATCATCTCTGAAGAATAAGAGAGTTCAAGCCAGGAGGTTATTAGGCTTTCACATTACAAGCCAGTATAAGTATTGTGAGTAGAGTTGACTCAATAATCACCATTGAACTGTTTATTCTCAGTTTAATACTTTTTTTCAACTAACATACTAGACAAGACAGTATTTTCACTGTCTTCCTACAAGTCAGAGGGCAGATACTCAATTAAAGGTTCTAAAACTCTTTGAAATGCTCAAACGAAAAGAGGGAAATACAATTATTGTTAATAAAATATCAAACATCGTAGTGTCGTGCTTCAAAACTACAAGGAATTTATCAAAGAAAGAGGAAGGCTTTCAGAAGGTTGTTAACCAATTCTGTCCACATCCATTTCGTCTCTGTGACTAACCCTAATCACTCCCAAGGAGTGCTGTTGCAATGCAATATACATGCAGGCAGCATGACTCAATCAGAAATTCTGAACAACCTCCTCTTTTTCTACTTTCTTGGCTAAGAAACATAAGGAAAAGACAGATTTAAAGGGAATTTTTATCTCTGTTTCATGAGCTGCCACCTCTGAGGAAGACAGCAACTGTACTGTGGAGAGCAGCACATCTAGGGAGTAGGACAATATGAGTCCAGCTCAGCACATTCCTCAGAAAGCCTCAAAACCAATGAGATTGGTCTGCACAAAATCAACTGCATCATTTATTTAAAGGGTAAGAGGATGGCTGTCAATAGGAAGATGAACAGCTTTGGAACCAAACATTGCAGACAACATTAAGAGAAACACTGATGCTGTTTGGAAGAGGAAGGCACTCTGAAATGTTGGTGCCAGTTCATCATCTGTTCTGCCTTCATTTCATGCTGGCTTTTGCTTACAAATATGTGAACTTGCAGAAGCACACACCAAAAGGCAAATATTGTTAGAAAAACACATATATTAATGGAAATAACATTTGCTATTTTTCATATTATTTACCAAACATATTTACAAGATCCTCTCCAGCTCACGGGGTGCTTAGAAGTTGTTTTTTTTGGGGGGGGAGGGGAGCAGAGACGGGGTGTTTCTAGAGATAAAAACTCTTCTCAAGAGAAGAAGCTAGAAGTCATTGAGGGGTAAAATTAACACACCATCTTCTAGGCTGAGAATTTCATCAGCCACTGGATTTTTTTCAGTTTCACATTCATGTCACAAGGTTCTGACTTAGATGTTCTTCCTCCTCAAGGATATAGAGTAGATTTATGTAGATAGATAGATACATATACATACATACACTTTCTCATAAATTGTCTCTGCATATAGAAATCAGTCCAATGTCACTTTTAAAGTTTAACTTTTCAACTTGTTGGCAGTAAG